TTAATTAATATATATATATATATATATATATATATATATATATATATATATATATATTAACTGACACAACTTAATCTTTAAATTAAAAAAACAAGGGAGGCCTAACTCTTTTTTGTTATGAATACATGACCAATCATTGAGTTTTAATTTCTCGTGTGCGCTCAAAAACATAATAATTTTGAAAAGTTAAGAGTATAGTATTTATATTTATACAAGTGGTAGACGATTGTATGTTATGGCGCAATACATTGTTGAAACAATGTCGATTAGTGATTTGATGCTTTACAAATTGTTGTTCAAAAAGGTTGGAGAAGATCCCATATGTTTTCGATTGTGCAATTTTTTCGTGAAGACATTGATTATCAACATTGAGATAGATTGAGGAAGGCAAGTTACTGATTTTTCTTTAATTAGATCTAGTTAGGAGAGTCGTAGTTGTCTGTTACTTTTTCCGTTCACTTTTACTTGTTCACTTTGAACTTTATATGTTCTTAAAAAGTAATAATTAGTATAAATATTTTAACCATAATTCCCATGCTATTGATGTATGGTCTTAGATTTTGAGAAATAAATAATTAATTTTTAAAAAAATAAGAAAAAGAATAATTATATTTTCATATATCTTAATTAATGTCATTAACTAATTTATTCATTTTGGACATGAGTAAAAGGAACCTTGACTAAAATACCCTTTATATATATATTTGGATCGATATAGTTATCATTAAATTTGTACATTAAATTAAGTATTAAATATGTACTAAGAAAAAAAGTGAGAAAAAGAGTCAAATAATCTTTCAATTCCTCCAAGCTCGAACTCACACATTAGAGCATGAGTTAGAAGTGAGAAATATTTGTCATCCGAGCGATTTCCTCTCGTAATCAGTTAATCATTTTGAAACAAACATTTTAAAACATCAAGACGGGAAGGGGCACGATAGGAAATTAGTATTGCTAGTGAATATAAGCTTCACTGGCATATAGTCCAAATCTGGCTGAAACGCATAAAATTAGTCGCTTCCTGTCTAGGCCCCTCCAAGTAAGCATTTCGAAAATGTTACTTTGCGGAGGCCGTAGATTCAATTTATTGGCGCCAACAATCTCACTCTCATTTGGGACTTTCATCAAACACCTTGCAGCTTCAAAATCCTCCAGTCTTTCACTGACCGCAAAATCGTTTACCGCCAGCGCAAGCTCAGAAGTCTTCAGTTCCTCCCGTTTTGAAGCGCTAAGTTCGCGTCAGAAAGAACAAGTGCATCTCTACATTGATTCCCTCCTTGAATGGAACCAGGTTCGTCATTATCCTTCGTGTTTTATGTATACTTTTGTGTTACCATATTGTGTTTAGTCAGATTAAGTGTTTTATACCAGAAAATGAATCTGACTGCCGTAAAGGAGGAGAGCGAGGTTATGGAAAGGCACGTTGAAGACTCGCTTTCAATCATTGAACCGATTCGGACTTCGTATCTCTCACATTGTGGACCTTCGTCTGAGAATCTCAATCTCGTTGATGTTGGAAGTGGTGCCGGGCTTCCTGGAGTAATTTTGGCCATTGCTTCCCCAGGTAGCTATTCACTTTTTTTTTTAATCACAATCTGAAGTATCAACTTCTCAAAAATAAACTAAAAATTGAGTCGGTAGAATATGTTGTATTTATATATATTCACTTATTTGGTACTAAACAAGCAAAGGAAGAAAAGAAAAAGAGATGGATCATCAAATGAAGAAATAAAAAATGTGAGATTTCATTTTGTGGAATGGAACAAGTTGTGCTTTTACTGCTCGAGTAGTTTGTTAAGAAATTGATTTACAGGGTTATAAACGTTAAGGTTTGCCTGATTAAATTCATCTCATTCTATTCTTTCCATACTTCTCTCACTATCTTCCTTAATTTCCCATCGATGTAGAACTTTAGTATGATTCCTTAATGAAGTTGTATCTGCAGGTTGGAAAGTGACCCTTCTGGAGTCTATGAATAAGCGTTGTTCCTTTTTGGAGCATGTGGTTAGTCAGATTGGTTTATCAAATGTTCAAGTTAAAAGAGAAAGAGCTGAGGTTAGTAAAACTCGAATCATCAGTTAACATGTCTTTTTAACTATTCATTTAGTAATTTTGTCAAATTGTCTTCCTCAATTTAGTCGATATGTGTAAGATGTTTTGGTCCATATTGAGTTCAAAGTTTCATTGTTGCAACGTCAGCCGTTTGTATTCCTTGCAAGGTCACATTTATTTTGTTTTCCTGAAACCAGATGGAAGTTAAGTTCCATGGGCTCGGTTTAATCATTACGTTCTTCGACTCCTATCTCTATTTTCTCTTTAATACTAATATGTTTTAAACAAGTACAGAAGGTATACTTTTCATCAAATTTGAGTAGTTTCCTGTTCTCCCTGATCTTTGTTCTTTTCCAACTCATCAGGAGCTATTGATCCTTTAAATCTTACCATTCTCAAAAAAAAAAGAAGAGCAACTGATCCCTCATTTAACATCCTTATACTGTAACTTATCTGAGTTGTTAAATTTTAGGGAACTAATGTATGATCTACTCCTGTCAAATATCGATAGATTTACCAAACTGTTTTTTGTATTCTTCTCTAAAGGAGTTGGGTTCTCACATGATTTAATTCTCTCCTCAAATTAGATTGTGCACAGTACAGTAGGCTAAATTCTGGTATAACTGAAGATTATCTTCATGCATCCTTGTGTCAAAATATATACAGCAGAGTCCATTCTTTTATTCAGTCCATATGTTCTGTTGTCTAGTGACAACATCTGATGGGTTTATCTCCTTGTGTACGATACATAACGTATCAATGTCTTGGGAGAAAAGTTCTACATTCTTGCTCTTCCTGGCTCCTGCTAGCTATGCAGTCCCTTACTTTATGTTGTGATTTTGTAATGCATGACAAATTAAAATTTGCTGGAATTTCATGCCTGTTGTTCCTCCTATTATAAACTAGTATCATCTTTAAGATTTTCTTCAGGTAGTACAGTTTTTAAATATTCACTTAACTTGTGGACATGATGCACATTCTGAACATTGGAATAAGACAGAAGCTAGGGCAAGACGTCTGCTTCAGAGAGTCTTTTGATGTTGCAGTTGCCCGAGCAGTTGCAGAAATGAGAGTTTTAGGTAAACGGGTACTATTTTGTTTCTTCCTCTGTGCTATATGTTCTTCAATATTCCTTGAGACGGTTATCTGTTTCTGTTATTTTGCAGCTGAGTATTGTCTACCTCTAGTCCGAACTGGTGGTATCTTTGTAGCTGCGAAAGGTCATGATCCTCAGGTTTGTCTCTCTTATGATTTATAGTAATAGTTTTAGTTACTTTGTCTGAGACAGATGAGCAAAGGCTTAGCTCTAGTAAAATAATGTGTTGCTGGGATTCAAACATGATACCTCATGGTTCTCCTCCCACTTTGTTGACTAGTAGGCCACACCCTTTGGTGCTATTAAGAACGTACGATTGTATCTTTGTTCATCTCCTTCTTTCTATTCTCTCGATATGAAAAATTTCTGCAAGACTTCTATGTGATTTAATGTTGGTTTTTTCTTTTTTTTTTAGTAGAGGGTCTTTTGATATCTTCCATGTTTCATTGTATTTAAATACTCTGCATTTTTTTGTAGTCCTTGTTTACTTTGTCTTCCTTGAAAATTGAAACCCAAATAAGGCATGTAACATTTACTGGTTAACAGAAAAAAGAAGCAGGTAAATGTTAATTTTGTGCTAGTTCAGAAATTAATATTCTTGCATTACAAGCTCACGAAGTCAAGATTTTAGGCCTTAAATGAGCCTTTTGCTGCAGCGTTTTCTAACCCAACTATTCGACTTAGGGCTGCTGCTTAATACCAGATACAAGTACTAACACACATTTAAAAATATCTGTTGTTTAGATGGGTTTGCCATCATATTAGAGAATCATATCACAGTCCCATAGCAAAAATGACATTTTTGGCTCCTTGACTGTGACGTGTTCTGCATTTTTGGACATTGAATATTGTGTTCTTTTGGTTCTTTAGCTAAAAGGCATTTTGAAAATTTTGTGAAATATTTTCTAAAAACTCTTGAGCGTACCTCGTTCCTAATATGTCAAACCTATTGTTTCTGGTTAATTTACAAAGTGAATGGATGTCTCTAGCCATCATGTCATGGTACGGGTTTTTGCTGCAATTCGGTAGTGGGATTTTGTTCAATATGAATGATTGTAGTGGTATATCATATCATATGCATTTATAACAAAATTTTCAGGACGCACTATATTTCACTTATCTATATCCAGTTTTTGCCCCATAAAGATTGAAGGATGAAATTTTCCTAATGCCTATAATTTTGGAGACCAAATGATCAAGAATATATGGTTGATGTACCAAAACGCAGAACACTACACTTGAGGGTTCAAAAATGTTATTTTTTCTTCTTAAGACCTAGAGTGGATCTGCGGTGGCAATCTACTGAACTGCAATGTGTATCATTGAAGAAATATAACTCAGTATAAATTTGTAGGATGTATTTGCATTTGAGAAGAGAAACGATTGGCATGTATTTGCGATATTTGCTCTCTGACTTTCCTACTCATTGACAGGAGGAAGTGCAAAGGGCAGAGAGAGCAATACAACTGATGGGAGCATCTCTATTGCAAATTAGTTGTGGTATTGTTCTCTTTCACATTTTAGTTACAAAAGGATGTGACCATGGTTCAGACTGGTTCCTAAGTTTATGAATTTTCATGTAATTATATGTGATAAAATAAGCTTCTTAAAAGATATTATAGAAGAACTAGATAATGGCAGATGAGTTTCTGTTTAAAGAAAGTGAACTATTTCTGACTTCTTGTGATTGTTGAGATTCCAGATCCAAATCTTTCTGTTTCTGAAAATTGATCATTTTCAAAGTTTGAGGTCAATGTGTCGGGCTTTCTCAATTATAAGCAATTTCTCATCTTCTTAATTATAACTTTGAAAGTGAAGACACCTGATATCATGTTGTTATTTCTCAGTATGATTGGTCGTGGTCTTACCCTTGACCTGGGTTAACTTGCTTTGGGTAGTTTTCCAGATGAGCAATTACATTCTAAAATGTCCTCTCATTTCTCACTGTGTTCATTTGTTTGTTTATTTTGTAATACAGTTGATTCCCACAGTAAACATGGACAGAGAACTGCCATAATTTGTTTGAAAGGTAAACCTACCCCCAAGAAATATCCTCGAGATCCAGGAACTCCAGCTAAGATTCCACTTTGAGAGGAATGTTGTCATGGCTCCGTATCTCCCAATTGTACAGTTAATGTATGATAGAGGGAAGTTTGTATTTTAGTATCCTTTCTCTTGAGTTTAGATGCAGATCACTATACTCATGGATGGCTAGACACAGTACTACTAGTTCCTTTGTGAATTGATTACCTCGTTATTTGAGAAGGTACACCACACAGATTTGGCTTAAATTCCATCCATTAAGATGAATGTATATTACAACCACACAACCCTTCTATTATTTTGTAGCCAAATAAAGACATTAACAGTTGCCATGTTCCAGTAGGTGATTCAATGTCATACATTTTGTTGCTTTTTCTTTTGTGATGTAAGCAGAGATAGCTTCAGTCTGACATATTCAGGACTCAAAATATTTCACAGTAGGTTACCTGATCTTGTGGCTGCGGTAATTATGTGAAGAATTGAACAAGTCTCAGCTCATAGGAAATTGTGTTACTGTCGATAATAATTTGTGTACTTTGTTAGAATTTCGTTGCATCACATTGTGGAGCATGTGGACCTGTAGTTGGAATTTGGATATTGTTGGCCTTAAATTAAACTATGTATTTTACCTAACATTCTTCCCCACTTGTATTAAAAAAACCTTTGTATTTAAAATATTATTCGCCCTTTCAATACGAATAGTGTATTTGTTTGTGTCTTTGGAGGAAACTTGTTTAATTTGTTCCTGAATACAGTGCTAGGTTGGTGTAAAAAAAGGGACTGCCGTTATGTAGGTGCAAAGATGTCAATGTCCCATCAATAAGATAATTAAGGTTGAAATTGTGGCAAAGAGGTTTTACCTACCCAGCCGTGTGGATTGAAATGGGAGAGGGTTTCAACTTTCAATCTGAGAAAAAGACATGTTAGTTGCATTTTCTTTTTATTTTCTATGGTTAGTTTTGTATAGTCACGTCAAAGCATGAATATCTTAGTCTATGCCAACATTTGATTAAACCATATTGAAAAGATGGTACATGTACTTTTGGTCTCTCTCGAAATTCTAAAATTCAACTAAAGAAAAACTTAATATTAGGATGACCAGCAGCAGAATTAGGCCAAAAAGAAAAGTTATTAGGCACGGAGGGTTCTTTTTTGAATCTTAAGCTAAAAAATGATCACAAAATATAGGACTTAATGTGGGGTACTTAATAGAGTAGATCAATCAAAGTGGTTTCCAAGTTTAAGAAGCATAATCATTTCATAATGGTAGCCTTTTTCAATAGAATAAACAATCCAACTAAATAAGAAAAAAAGTTGAAATTTTGCAGATATTTTCTTCTCTAGGTCACTTGCCCAACAATCTATAATGCAAAATATAGTATACAGATATGTTAACTGGCAAATCTTGACCATGTTCATCATGCAAATAGCTTTAGAGAAAAGGAACAAAAATCTTCCAACCTTAGTTTCACCATCTAAACTAGCAGTGTATAGGACATATGAAGAATTTGTATCTGATGGAATTTGTTGATCACTAGTCACAGTTAGGCATTTCACTGGTCCACTGTGCCCTGAAATAACACTAAGACAAGAGTAGCATCTCTCAACCCCTCTCCATACTCTTACTGTTTTATCTTCTGAACCACTGCACACCAAATCCGCGACGACAGCCAGACATAGTATGGACTTCTTATGACCCCTGAGTGCACCCACCAGCACCATTTCACCATTTTCGTCCTTCTCCCATACTAATATCGACCTATCACAAGCACCCGAATATAAAACAGAATGAGTACTAGTACTACTTCTCCCCACTGCTAGTGCATTTACACCTGATCTGTGTTTCTCCAGTGTACAAACTAGTAAATGTTTTTTCTCTTCCTTTCTCCACATCTTGATTCTCTTGTCAGCTGATCCGGTGAAAACATCCCCATCTTGTGATATTTCTAGTGCATTGATCGCGTCATCATGTGCATTTGCTATTGATTCCAGGCACTTAAAATCACTGGTTCGCCAGATTTTAAGTGTTCGATCCCACGAAACAGAGTAGAGGAATGACTTGTTGTTCGAAAGGGCTAGTGCTGACACTGTGTCAACATGGTGCACCCATGTAGACTTCTTGTGGCGCCTGATCTGAACATGGTTTTTTGGTAACATAAACTTAAAGGCTCTGTCACTAAGTATTGGTAGAGTGGCCAAATGAACTATTTTAGGAGTATCCGTATCATGGTTTTCGATTCTCCACACTCTGATTTTGTGATCTTGATGAGCACTAAAGACCTTATCAGCCAAAATTACTAGAGACTTCACTGCACCTTCCCCTGCTATAACCGTGTCGATTATACTAGCATCTATTGTGGAAGTTAAAGCTTTTTGCTCCCACATACAAATTTCTTTATCAGAAGAGCCAGTAAAAAGGAATTTCCCACCAAGTACAAGGGAAGATGTATAGGAATTCTGTCCCTTAAGATTAGCTATGCATTGATGTTGAGTTTCAAGATTACGCGAAAAACTCTGATCATGACATAGTGACTTGATTGAAGGAACTGAACGAAAACTTGGCTGTGAATCTAAAGAAGTTGGCTTTTCTTGTTCTGCTTTTGAGCTATTTCTTGAACATGATGTTTGGTAAAAAGGCATCATTCTTCATTCCCCTAAAACTATAGTATATGAGTTTGATTTTATGTAAGCAATAAGGTTTGGTTGATCATAAAATATACATATTTGGTGTATCTTTACTTTGTGAATTGTGAGGAGTGAGGAGTAGAGAAATTAAAATAGGCTTCTTTAATAGAAAATGGAAAGGTACTGTTACTATTTGTTTCTTGAAAAAGTTCTATATATTGTGTAACTTTTGTTGATTGAGAAATGTTTTGTCTACATCAATGACACTTAAAAGAATTGGCCCACAAAAAATAAACTAGACAAAAGTTACTTCTTTAATTGTCTTAACAAAAGTTTTCAACTTGCATGAAGCAAGGTTTGTTGGAACAAGAAAAAGTGTAGTCTCAACAAAAATATATATAGTATGAATTAGGTACAATCAAATAGCTGACTGGCAAATTTTTAAAGCTAAACCATTTAGCCATTTCATTATTATTTTCCCTCTAATTTGGATGATGATTGTTGTCTTTTGTATCTGCCAAAACAAGGTCAAAATGTGGACTTCCAGAAACACGGGCGAATATAGTATTCACTCGAGCTCAATAACTTTGATTCAACTAATAAATTTCGAACCTAGCAAATCAAATGTAATGTGTTAAAATACGTACTTAAACTCATAATGTTCATATCCCGAATTTGACTCTGTCTAGCAGAATTCAAAGGTAATATTAGTGTCTATTCAATGAAAGGGACTTAGCTAGTTGCCTTTCATTTTTAAAAAAAGTGATTGGTAAAAGCAGCAAAGTTAGGTACTCTTATTGATCCACCAATCTTTCTATTCTCTTTTTCATTAATTTTTTTAATCTTTTATAACAAACAAAATATATGGAGAATTTGCTAACTTAGTTGTCATGATAAATTATTATGTGAAAAGTTTTCCATAAGAGTGTTTCTGCTCAGCATCTGATTTTAATCATGGAGGACAGTTCTGCTTATCTGGATGTGCCTAGCTAGGCACTAAAATTTGCCAGCTTCTCAAGTGGCATTTAATTAAATCATAATCCTGGAACATGAACCCACCTACATTATCTTATTTTTCTCATTTTACCTTTTCTGTATTAAAAATATTTTCTTTCGAACATATCACATGATTTACTCAATTCCGAAAAAACATTAGTAGGCGTTTGATCATGTTTCATTGTAAAAGTAAAAAAAAATGATTTTTTCTTTTTAAAATAATAAAAAATTTATTATTTGAAAATTGGAGTTGTGCTTAACTATATAAGAAATGAATTAGAGATTGCTTTTGGATTTTGTGAGTAATTTGCGGAGGAAATAGTTTTTATATTTTTGGAATTTCTGGAAAAATTTTGATCAAGCTTTAGTGTTATTAAAAAAATACTTTCGGCGAGGAGTAGTTTGTGTTCAACGAGTAAATCTTAAAAATACTAAAGAGCAATAATTAGTACGTACTTTTAGAAGTGTTTCTAAGAGTACGTTACTCAAAAATGATTTTCAAACGTTCCCGTTATTCCACATAAACACATATTTTTCCTCAAAAACTTGTTTTTTTTAAAGAATTAAGTATCTTTTTTTTGCCTCTCAAAAGCTTGGCCAGACAGAAGCAAGAAGTCAATGAATAGCTAACTATAGGATAGTAGTAGTATATATAATAATAGAAGGCATGGAATTGAATGTGATTCAAAATATAGGACAATGAAGGAAACCTACCTTCCAAATTAGGTTTTTGCTTTAAAAATACAGGACAATAATTTCTATGGGACTATGTCTCATACCTAAAGGACCTCTTAAGGAAAACTACTACACTACTACTATCAAGTGTGTAAAATTTTCTTGTTTAGATATATTTATCAAACATGACTTGTAATAATTGGAATTATTATGGATCTGTGTTCACTTGTTTGCAGGAATATAGAGAATTGATTGTTTGAATAAGTAACATATATAAATCACCAATTATCATAATAATATTTATTTATAATCTAGATAAGTGCTATGAGAAGTGACAACAAGGTGATGAAGATAAAGATAAGGTGTGTTGAAGGACGAAAAAGATATAATCAATGTGAAATGTTATTTGTGAAACTTGTTTTCCTTATTTCCATTAGGCGAGTTATTTTCCTCGTCCCTTTTAAGAAATAAAAAGTTTTGTTTTTTCCTAACAAAAGAAAAAAATTAAAAAATTTGACTAATAAAACACAAAAAAGTAATAATTAAAAACTCTATATATACTGAACACACTCTAAAAAGTATTTTTGTATTAGGAATACTCACCCCTTCCTTTACTCAGAGATTTCGATTTCGTGTCTTTGTATTAGGAATACTCACCCCTTCCTTTACTCAGAGATTTCGATTTCGTGTCTTTGATATATGTAAAAAAATTTAATAGAGTAGTTCCTATGAATGAGCCTCTACCGTGCAGGTGCTAATCCAAATTATTCGTAATTTAATATGAAAATCGAACAATAATTAATTCATCTTGACTTCACACGTGAGCTTCTTTTTCCAAAGGAAATGGATTAGGATTCTCTGCTTAGGCGACAAACATGAAGATTGACTCATCAAAGAAAAAGTAAACTTTTGCTTAACCGCATGACATTAACAGATTCTCTGAAATAACACATTTATTATTAGTAAGTAGTAAGCATTTAAACGTCGTCGGAACTATTTTAATTTTTTTAGTGAAACCAATAATACAAAAAAGTAACATTGTGGTGTAAGATTTCTTCATTATTAGTTAAAAATTTTCGATTTGAGTCTTGAATATGAAGTAAATTTCAGTTGATCGTGTCATTTCCAAATAATTTTATCGTGCGATACCAATTTTGTTGGAATTTCAATGCGAATGAAATTTTTTTTATAGAATCAATACTAGGGGTGTATTAGGTACAAAAAAATATATTATGTTTTACAAAAATGTAAGTAATTTATATGAGATGACTGGTCAGGATCTAATTTAGCATGATTTATACTTTTATAGAATATAATACTTAACAGATTGGTATTGTATTCCACAAAAATTAGGCAATCTTAGCTGCTAAATATAAAAGTGGGATTAATTTAGT